TCCGTCTCATGTGATCCAAGTGGATGATGTGCATGTGAGAGATAACCTGATTATGGAGACATCACGCATACAGATAGAGGGTCAGGAAGTGAAGCAGTTGCATGGTAAATAAATTTCCTTGGTGAAGGTGGTTTGGGGAGGACATGCTGGAGGGAGAACGTGGGGAGAATATGAGAGAGTCGTATCCGACTCTGTTTTCCTCATGTAATTTTCGAGGGCAAAAATTTCTTAAGGGGGGAGAGTTGTAACACCTCATTTTCAATAAGTTTATTTTAATACATTTATTTATGAATTAATTATGATTTTGCATATATTTATTGGAACGATGGGGGTTATGGTAGTTAAATAATCAATTGTAGTAGAAGTTAGTTAGAATGAATTATAATTATTTAGATTTATGCTGATAATTAAATAATAGGAGTTTATTTAATTTAATTAAGTAAATATATTAGAATAATAAAAATAATAGGAAAATAAGGGTGTGTAAAGAAATTGAAAGCAAATTTAGAATTAAGGAAAATATAAAGGATGGCAAGAGAATTCCTAATTATAAGGAATTAGGTTTTGGAATAAAATAAAGGATTTGAGTGTCAGTGCATATTTTTGAGAGTTGGGGCAAAAGAGGAGAAGAGGGAGAACAAGGGCTTGAGGTTGAGGAAAAACTCTAGGAATCAAAGGTGATTTTGCTGGAAATCAAGGTAAGGGGGAAATGTGCTTCCCTAATGGGTGTTAAAGCATGATGGTTAGATGGAGGGATCCTTAACCTCATTAAGATTGGCCATTTTGACTCATAATTCTAAATTTGATGCCATGATTGTTGTTGTATGATGATTTATGGTGTTCATATGTATGATTGTATGATTGAATTTATAACTGATTGAATTTATAATTGATTTACCTTTATTCTATATGTATGAAAATCTGCCATTGATAGATGTTTGAAGATTGTGACCTTAAGTGTGTCAATGGTGATTTAGAGATGATGAACATGATAATATTGTTGTAATGTGTTGTTGATTCATGAACCCATGTAGTAATAGATGTGTTTATGATGTTATAATAGTAGGAATTGGAATTAATCTAGTAGATTTTCGTAAAAAAGTTTTTGTCATATAAAGTAATGTTTGGAAGGAACTTTAAGGAAAAGTGATTCTTTAGCGTAAACTTGAAACTGGAATTTTTAGAAAAACACACACTGACAATCGATTGTCATAGGATGACAATCAATTGCACTAGTGCAATTTTTGGGAAATAACACTATGACAATCCATTGTCGCTATATGACAATTAATTGTGATGTCTCTAAATGTGTTTTTTGGATTTGGAAATAACTAAGCATCGTTGATGAAAATCCATTGTCATCCTATGGCAATCGATTATGGTAGGCCAAATTGCGAGAATTTTTCTATTTTGATATTTGTTGCATTGTCCGACAATTTTGGCCATAACTTTTGATCCGTAAGTCTAAATGACGCCCCGTTGGAAGCGTTAGAAAGATAACGCTCAAATATAAATCATGTAAATGCTTGGTAAAATAATTGAGTGATATTAAGGTGTCTAATGTAGGAATGTTTATGATGGTTTGTATGATCGATTAGCGAATTATTGAGTTACCATAATAAAATGTTGATGTTATAATGAAATAAAGTGATTATATGTTTATGAATATGCATATGTTGAGTTTCTGAAGTTGATGTTGTTGTTGGTTGTAGTAATATTGATTAATGTATGTGTATGGTGTATGATGTTATGTTATGATGACGAAGTTTGATGATGTTGTTATGGTTCTAATGTTGATGATGATGTTAAGTCGATGTTGTTGTGATGATGTTTTTATGATGTTAATGTTGATGGTAATATTATGATAATGTTGTTAATGATTTTTCATGCTCAAATATATACATGCTATGTTGATGGTGATTATGTTGTTAGAGGCATACATAGTCAGAAGAGGGGCCAATTTGTATGTGTTGTTGTTGCATATTGAGAGTCCCATGCATTCATGTTGTCAGAACTTCGATTCTTTTTGGTGGGACTAGATCTTATGGTGGTGGTTCAGGTGTAAGTAGTTGGTTCTTGTGGGAATTAGTGAAGTGTTACCTATGGTGGTGGTAGGGATTTTGGTGCGCTCGAGTTCCAAGAGGGAATAAGGTCCTATTTTGACAGATTAGGGAGCGAAATGAACTTGAGTATTCATATTTGGTACTTGGTACCACATGTATATTGCATTCGTGTTGATTAAATTGTATAAGTATTAAATTTGTATTGATTTTTGTTGAGGTGTTGTCGGATGAGAATACTTAATATGTTGGTGTTGATTGAGTAATGTGTATGTTATTGTTATGTGATATTCTACTTTCGCTTATTTTCACCGTTAATTATGAAGTGTATTCTCACCCATTTTGCTTTAATGTTGTCCACCATGGACAACTTGCATATACTAAGGAGTAGCATTTTGGAAGTAAGTAGAAGATAGTTGTTGGAGTTACTACTTTAGTTTATTGTTTTGACTAGTGGTGCCTTACTCTGATCATGTAACATCGGGTTAGGGAAGAATGTTTGATTTGATTCTTTTATAGTTATGTTTTATTTAAAATACTATTTTGTTTTGTTGATATTTCTAAGTTGTTTTAAGTTGATTGTCACAACTTCTTTTGCTTATGTTATATAGTTAACGTTTATGAGACCAAATGTTACGAATTGCAATATTGTCCTTATTTGCTTTAATAATATTTCCATTGTGATGATACTTGTAATATGGTGGGAGAACTAACTTGGATGTTTTGCGTTTTATCGTAATTGTTGGGGATAACAAGAGTCGCCACCGACTTTTCTTTTATCCAATAAAGGAAAGGGTGAAAAGAACAGGAAATACCTTTTGAGAATTTTTCTTGAGTTCAGGGGGTAGGTTATGAAAGGGGAAGGTGTTAGCACCCTTTTCATCCGTACTTATCAACGGGATCTTAGTTTCTATCTCACTTTGAAATTCTTTGTTTGAAAATGTGTTTTTAATTGGTTTTGAAACTATTTTTGAAAAGTGCCTTCGTTTAGGCGAACTTTGTAATGACTCTTGTCTCTATAAGAATGTATACAAAGTGTTGACTTTTAAAAATATTTCATTTGAAAGTGTTGGTGTATTTGAAAGGATGTTTTGAAAATGGTTGTGATCAAGCAACTATGAACGTTCTACCTACTCAAAAGAAATCTTTGTTCTTTTCCTCCTTCTTTAGATGTCGCTATCTTACCATTGATTGGTAAGAAGCTCTATCATTGGATGTGAAGGGACGAGCGTGGGTTGTTGTAAATTCATAGAAGGCAACATTGTAGGATACTTTAGCAATTGTCATAAGGGACTAAGATCGTTTACCGAAGGCAACATCGAAGGGTCATCGAGGGACTAGGATCTTTTAATCGAGGGTCTTTGCTAAAGCATCCCACGTTCGAGGGACATTTCTGTTTTATCTGAGGCAACAAGTGTGGGTTATCCTACAAGTGCAAGTGTGAAAAGTGTTTTTGTTTTCATGCATTTGTCTTGATTAGGGTTGTCTATTGTTTGATTTTGTATCTTATCATACACGCCTAATTACTATACAGTATAAAGAAAAATAGTAAATTGTGGAAAGTAAAACTCTACGCTATTACAAAACTTTCGAGAATGGGGGATACAAATTTATAAATAAGGATGGATCGAATCGACAATGCGATTAAAAGTCTAAATAACAATCAATACAATCCAATCGAATTAAAATGAACCGTTAATTAAACTAAACAAACTATTAAAGTAAAATTAATTGACAAAATAATTAATACTATTAAAATAAATTTTTGGTATTTTATCAATTTAAATAAAATTTAAAGGAAAAATAAAACTAAATTTTAATATGTTTTTTTTATATAAAGAAAATTAAAATAAAACCACATATCTTTTGTTATTATTTAAAAAAAAAGATTAGTTAGAAATATAAAAATAAGCATGCATCTAAAATATTTTTGGTTTATGAAAATGATTCTAAAAAGAATTTTTTTTGTGTTTTTGATATTTAAATTAACAAAGACCTAAATGAATAATAATAAAAAATTGAAATGGAGTGTAAACAAGATTAATGGTGGTGGAGTGAAGCAATTCATTTGGTCACTCGTGGGCCTGCAAGTGAACCCACTCGAGTTAGATTATTTGAGAAAACAAAGCCTAAACTAAAAACAACTAGCCACCAATATCCCTCGTTTCTCTCATCCTCAAATAAACTTATTCAATTTCCTAATTAATCTCTTGATTATTCCTAAAAAGTCTCAATTAATGCAAATAAACACAAAGGCCTCTCTCTCCTCTTAAACCCATGTTACATTTCTCTAATTAAATCAAAATAAACTTACTTATTTAATTTAATAAATCAGAATTATAAACAAAATCAACAACAAAAATCAACAACATTTATCTGCCTCTCATCGTAAAAACATCAACAACAAAAATCTCAGTCTCAAAATCAAATTCTCTTAAATGGAAGACCGATAAAACCATGGCACACCACATAAACCCTCATCCCCAAATCAAAAACCCTAACCAAGATTTGATGATTTCCAGTTTACGAATTACCTGGATAGAACAATAGAACAACGATGAGAAACGATAAGAAAACTCAGGTACTTCCTCGATTCATTTTATCTTCTGATTCATATCTTCTTCCAAAAAAAATTTTCAAATCTTTTGCGTTCTTCACTATTGTACGCGATTTTGTAGGCGATGAATACAGATGAGGCAGAGCGAGGCAGCCAGTGGAGGTCTTAGACAGAGACGTGCACCTAAAACACGAGCTACTCATGGAGGGAAGAGCATGGATTTCGACGAGATACACACAACACTTTAGTGTAAGGATTGAACAAGAGAGGGTGGTCGCGACTATAGGAAGTAATTTTCGGCCCTTTCAAGCATGAGCATCAGTGATGACTTTCTAGGTAAATCTTCAGATCTGCTTCTCCTTGATTCTTCTTCTATTCCTTCTTCATTTTTGTTTTTCTTTTGTGTGTGTTGTTGTTCTTGGCTGTGAGGGAGAATGTATTGTGATGTTGGTTGTATGTTTCTCTGTATTGAGATGAGAGGGTATTGTGAGGTTTGGATGAGAGTTGGATTGGTTGTGAGATTGTGAAGTGGAAGAGATAAGGAGGGAGGTTGATGGAACACGTGGGGGAGAAAGAGATTTGGAAATCGTAGGATGATTGAAAGGTGAGTTGATTTTTGGAAGTGAGGTTATGGTGAACGTTGTAGTATTGTGATGATAATAAGGTTGAGATTGGTGTGTGGATTGAACGGTGTTGTTGATGGTGATGTTAGTGATTAGAAGATAGTTTAGCAGAAAATGGATGTTGTAGAAGGTGATAGTAATCGATTTACAGAGATAATTGTGTGATTGAAATTCTAGAATGGAGGTGGATTGATGAATTAAGAGGAAAGTGTTTGGATCGAGAAAAATGAAGATCTTTGTAAAATCGTTTTTCTGATAAGTCTATGCATTTTTTTTTTCTATTTTGTACTGCTGTAAGTGGTTTATATAGGTGATAAAGATGAGTTTTTAGGGCAAAAAGAAATGATATTTGAATTGTTTGGATGCACTGTTTTATCACTTTTTATATACATTTTTGTTTGGCTACGTTTGTGTAAATTTTGGAATGATACTGTGCAGTTTTTGGACTGTTATTTTGTTGTTTTGTGGTAGGTTTGTAGGCTGGTTAGCAGTTTAGACAGCAAGAATGCAAGTGGACAGCAACCTTTGTTTATATGCAGGATGTTTGGCAATTTTGTTTTTGGATATTTGGGAGAACATGGTGATGATGTCTTGAAGAAATGGGGCTTCCATGAAGCTTGAAGAATATCTTGAAGATTTTGGGATGATTTAAACATGTTTACGACTTAGGAATTAGGATTAGGCCTTGGATGTAAAGTCCCTTTTAAAACTTGCATTTTAAATTTGATCTTTGAATCATAATTTGTAACTTGCAATTTGCAAATTGTAACATGAATTTTTATCTTTGAAAGAGTCTTGGTAAGCATTTGGATGAAATAAAATAATGCCCTTGTAATTTCCTTTCTAAACTTAAAAGAGTTTCTTCCATTTTGAATCTTGAACTAAAGACAAATTCATATAAATGAAATATGCCCTGTATGCTTGAGCTGAATTGAAATTAAAGGCATCATTTGAATGGATCCTCAAATCTCCTTCACTAAAACTCTAAATCACATCTTCAATTCATAGTAACTCACAATACAAGTCAATGGTACTTGAGTGAACAAATAGTGCCTTAAGAAACTCGATCAATAATTCATTGTAATCTAATAATCACCAATGCTCAAACACCAGCGACTTGAAATCAGCGAAAAATAACCAAGGGATCCCCAAACTCAACATAAGAATCAATATCTTGAGAAAACAATTATGGCATGTGTTGAAATTAGAAGTTAAAAACATTCTAAAGCAAAAAATGGCTTATAACAATTCGATAACTCTCAAGATCTTCTAAACACAATTTTCCTTCAATTATTAAAGAGAACTTACTGATGACATTGCTTATAACAATGTGAAAAAATAATCGTCTCAATATCTTGAAAATTGAGGAAATTATGATTCTTGGAAGTCAGACAACAGTTGCTTGAGATTAGGTCAAAGTCTAGAAAGCGACCTCTAAAGTATTCGAATTGTTTATGATCTTTCGCACATAATAGGCTCTTCTCTATAAAGAGAAGTTGGAGATGATGTCGAGGAGAGTCATACACAAAAGGAACCACTCAATAATATCGAACAGTGAAGAAGTTACAACCGTTTAAACTTGACCTTGAAAGGTCGACTTTTGGGTCAATACAGTTGATTTTCAGTCATCTGAACCATTGACTGAGCAAACTTGCGATGCAAGGTTTGAAACTTGACACGAGCATCCTTGAGAATACATGAAGAACCATGAAGACCACTTGAAACTTTGGAAACTCAATTTTGCTTGAGAAATACAAAACCCTAGTCGTGGACTCAATGCTTAGGAAGAAAATCTGTCTGATCAAACCCTGTGCCATTTTAAGTATTTGAGAAACCCTAGGATGACATTTTGAATGGAAAATAGGAGGGAAAATTTTGGGGTACAACAGCTGCCCCTGTTCAATATTCTTAAATCTGAAGAGTTAGATTGGCATGTGTGTCATTCGTGACTCGAAGGTGGAAGATGATTGAACACTAGAGTGCCCAGAAATTTGCACTCACATGTGAAAGCAGTAACGCTTTGGATTTATTGTATCGGGAATGGGATTATAGATTCCATTTGGAGAGTGACGGAATATTGTCGGATGGGCTTATAGATGCCATCAGAAGTGGTTGAGAATTGTCGGAGATAGGCTTATAGATGCCATCCATAAATGACTGTTGATAGAGAAATTAGACTAAGTCTAATGCTTGACTTCAGCAAGGAGAAGTATTAGAATAAATCTTTGGTCGATTTAATCTGAGCTAGAAAAGGGTCTACTGAGAGAAGTATCAGAATAAATCTTTGGTCGATTTATACCGAAACAATAGATGTTGTTCGCCTGTCTTTAACCGGAAGAAGTAAATCTAAACCAGAATAGGTCTTTACTCGCCTGTCTTTAACTGATAGAAATGAATCTAATCAGAAGTGTTCTTCGTGCGTTTGTCTTTAACTGATAGAAATAAATCTAATCAGAAGAGGTCTTATGATTGGTGACTTCACTGGGGAAAAAATTCTAATTGAAAGAGGTCTGTTGGTTGCCTATTTTTAACTGGAAGAAATGATTCTAGCCAAAAGAGGACTGTTGATTGCCTATTATTAAATAGAAGATGTGAATCTATCTAGAAGAGGAATTTTGTTTTATTGATTGACTTTTCCTGCAAGGAAGAGGGTTAGTTGCATGCAGATGTATGCATGTCGTAATGATGTTCTCAAAATAAATGAGATTATGACGTATGCATTTATCATGTATGTAATATGATGTGAAATATTGTTGAAATGTATCTTTGTCTTGGAAAATAAATCCTTGTCAAATGTTAGGGAGCTTTGGGAAGCTAAATCCCGGACCGTTGTCGGGGATGAATAGTATGCACATCTTCAAACCTTGTTTAGAATGTTTCCGCTAGGGATTCCTGTTTTGTTTTTTGAGGAGAAATCCGCTGGGGAATATTGTTTTTTGCTCTCTGCTTGAGGAAACTCTGGGGAGTGTTGATTTCTGCTTGGGGAATAGAGTTCATGAGTTTTTGTGGTCCATTACTCTACTGGGGAATTATACTTGACTAGGGAGAATGAAAGTTAAATGTTATCTGGTCGAAATCCAGGCTTCACAGAAACTTGTTGGGGATAATAAAGTTAATTGTTATCTGTACGTATTCCAGGCTTTGCCGCAACTTACTGGGGAAGATGAAATTAACTATTATCTGGTCGGATTCCAGGCTTCGCATAAAATTACTTGGAAGAATGAAGTTTAACTATTATCTGGTCGGATTCCAGGCTTTGCAGCAACTTGCTTGGGAGTGTGAAGTTAGCTGTTATCTGGTCAGATTCCAGGCTTCACATCGACTTAGATGAAGTTAAATTGTTATCTGGTCGGATTTCAGGCTTCACAGTAACTTGCTTGAAAGGATGAAGTTAAATTGTTGTCTGGTTAGATTCCAGGCTTCACAGTAACTTGCTTGAAAGGATGAAGTTAAATTTTTGCCTGGTCGGATTCCAGGCTTCACGGTAACTTGCTTGAAAGGATGAAGTTAAACTATTGTCTGGTCGGATTCCAGGCTTCACAACAACTTGCTTGAATAGTAACAACTCTGTTGGGGATTACAATGACTCTACCGGGGATTAAGGGATTTTGTCTATTGATTTGTAACAGTCTGAGAGGCCAACTCAAGCTGGGGAATTTGTAGTTTGTTAGGGAAATAAACCCGGTTAAAGAGAATATTTTTATGACCTACTGGGGGAGGTGAATTTTTTAGGGAGAAATCCTCAAGGCTTCCTTTTTTTAAGACCAGCTCAGCTGGGGAGAGGGTTTCTAAGAGATTGGAACTATGGATGTATGAATTTAACTCAGCGGGGAAATTTTGTTGTACTAATTCTGTGGGGATATCCCAAATCTTTAAGGAAATACTTATTACTGTTTTTATGCATACATTTGTTAAAAGTTAGTCATGTCCATATGCATATTTTCATTCAACTTTAGTCATTGGACACTTTTGCATGCAAAACAGAAAAACAAAAAGTTTGTACTTCAAAGTATATTTGTATTGATATTTTGCCCAAAAATAGGCGTTTTTGAACAAGGAGACAGAGATCCCAGTAAGAGGAAATCTCCTAAAGAATGAAAGGATTACAAAGTGAAAACAAAAATAATAGCCATGTGGAAGTGATCTCATTGATTTCCAACTCTGCTATTGCCCCTATGTCTTCGAGCATCATCCCTTGTCGTTCAAAGAAGTTGATTGAATTGACCTTGGACTTTTAAATTTTGACCTATGTTATAAAGTTGGTTGTAATGATTCAACGAGACATATCCGTACGCTTTAATCCCTAACTTTTTCCTAGACCACCCTTTCGGGTTTTTCAGTCCACCGGGATACCCATTTTTTCTCAAGCTTCCCTTTCGGGTTTTCGACTTGCCAGGTGTACAATCTTTTGTATATATCCCTAACTTTTGCCCGAACACTTTTGGTTCTCCGGGATGCCCTTATTTTTTCCTAGGTATGTTTTAACCCAGCGAGTCACTCTTTATGCATAGTATTTTTTAAATATGTCCACATTCACAGGATGTGGGAAATATTCTTCGTCTATAGTTGTTAGCATCATGGCACCAACAGAGAATACTTTCTTGACAATAAATGGTCCTTCATAAGTGGGAGTCCATTTTCCCCTGGGATCGCCCTGTGGTAAAAGGATGCGCTTTATTACCAAGTCGCCAGTTTGATATACTCGAGGCTTGATCTTCTTGTTGAATGCCTTGATTATACACTTTTGATACATTTGTCCATGACAAACAGCATCCAGTCTTTTGTTGTCGATCAAGTTGAACTCATCCAATCTAGTCTGAATCCATTTGTCTTAGCCTAAGTCTGCTTCTTTCATAATCCTTAGAGAAGGAATCTGAACTTCGACAGGCAGGACAACTTCCATGCCATAGACCAAGGAGAACGGGGTTGCCCCAGTCGATTTCCTGCCGAAGTACAGTAGCCATGAAGAGAAAATGGTAACATCTCATGCCAATCTTTGTAGGTCACCACCATCTTTTGCACAATCTTCCTTATGTTTTATTGGCAGCTTCCACTGCCCCATTCATCTTAGGTTGGTATGGAGAAGAATTGTGATGTTTGATTTTGAACTGCGTGCAGAGTTCAGTAATCATAGCATTGTTGAGATTGGTTCCATTGTCGGTGATGATCCTTTCAGGGATACCATAATGGCAGATGAGGTTGTTCTTGATAAACTTGGCTACAACATTCTGTGACTGAGGCATATGAGGCAGCTTCGACCCATTTGGTGAAATAGTCAATGGCAACAAGGATGAAATGGTGTCCATTGGAAGCAGTAGGCTTGATCTCTCCAATCATGTCAATGCCCCACATTGTGAAAAGCCACGGAGAAATCATGACATTTAGAGGTATTGGAGGTACATGAACTTTGTCGGCATATATCTGACATTTATGGCAAATTATTGAGTGATGGTGACAGTCAGTTTCCATAGTCGACCAATAGTACCCAACCCTTAGAATCTTCTTGGCAATAGTGTGTCCACTAGAGTGAGTCCCAAAGATACCATCATGCATGTCTTCCATGATCTTCTCTGCCTCCTTCTTGTCCATACACCTGAGTAGAGTAGAATCATGGTTGCGCTTGTACAGGATTCCATTGCTTAGGAAGAATTTGGAT